TCTTACACAATTTTAGAAATATTTATTAAAATGAGAAATGAGAAACAAGAACCCATATATTTCTAATAAACTGAAAACAAGAAACAAGAAAAAAGATACATAACCGTTACGAAATGTGTCACTTATTTCCTCAAAATGATTATAGGTTTAAATGGTCTCTATCTACCTTCCTCTTCGACCGGCTCCATTTTTCTCCGTTGCCCATCTCCGTTTTTCTCCGTCGCCTGTCTTCGTTTATCCCATTCGAAAGGAGATTTTTGTCCTTCCTTCTTCTCCGGTTGTTTCTGCCTGCCTTCATCTCTGCTTCCGTTTTTCTCTGTCGCCAGAACAGTTCGCCTCCATTTATCCTGATCGAAAGGTTTCCATTCCAATGGTTGTTTTCGATTTCTGATTTCGTGTGAACTATTGTATATATGAGAATATATATTATAGTGAGTTTGATTAGGATATATCTTATAACTCAACTTGTATATATGCGGATATGCRAATATATACTATAGTGATTTTGAATGTATATATGCAGATAGATACTGTGATTTTGAATATATTATTTGAATATGCAGATATATGTTTATTGAGATTTCAAAAGATGTTAATGTGATTTTGAATTGTTCTTGAAGATTGAGCACTRATAGTGAATTAAGGGAAAATCAACCTTAGGAGTAAATTAAGGTTTTGAATGGGTGAATTAAGGGATTGGTGTTGACAATTAGTATGTGGCCCAAAGGATTATGATAATAATTCATGGAATTAAATCTTTTATATTAAAAAAAAACAAATAATTATAATAAATGTAAATGCAATAAATAAGGATAAAATCGGAATTAAAATAAAATCATACTTGCAGAAATCTAAAAGTGTAAAATTAGAAAATTTTAGACATTTGTATAAATAAGTTTCTAAAACAGCCATCCGAAGACATTATCTCTTTATTTTATCATCATGTTACATTCTCATTTTCATTTTAACGAGTAATAGGTAGAATGATTGTTTTAAATAACTGCTAAGAGATTAAGAATAAAACYGAAACTTTTGAAACCATAACATGTCATAATTGAAACCTCCTTCAGACTCATGTCATTTTGTGTAATAACCTAAAATATATTTTGACTTCACATTGTCATCAATCCACTCATAGATTTTATCTCTGTGTAACAATAAGAATTTAATTAAAAAGTAATAACAAGTGTCTTGTTCACTTGAACTATGTCCAAATTAAAATAAGAGACGTGAGTTGAAACTTTTAAAAGATTAAACTCACATGTCTTAATCATATAACATTAGTAATTTCTTTAAAAGGTACATGTCGATCCTCACCTTTTGTTTGAATTGGTAATACTTTTATAAAAAAAAATGAAAAAAAAATATTTAGTTTAAATTTTTAGGTCCCATAATAATGAATATAATAGTCCTTTGAGTGTTCAAACTCTAGCAAACTGTTTAAAGACTTATTATTAGAATCCAAACAGAACAACACAAAGC